GTTTGGACACATGACATAAGGTGTGTTTTTACATTTCTGTACTAACAACCCCGTGCTCTGGGATTTCCCAATTTCCTGATGCTAAAAAGAGGAAAAAGCCATAAGGCCACAATTATGAGCTCAGCAGGGATCAGGGTGTGAGAGGAAACCTTGCAGGAGCACACACAAACTATCCCCTCTTCAACTTACGAAATGTTTTCTTTGGCTTTCATACCTGTTCTTCTATTGCACCTTTCCTTCTTCAATATCCAATTCCCCCCCCATTCAAACAGGACTTTGCTTACTGACATGGAAAGCTGTGTTTGCACCTGTGTACAAAAAGCCACCAGCAAGATCCAGCCCCACCTGGTACAAACAGGCAGCAAGATCCCTAAAGGAGCACAGCTGACAAAGGATCACATTTGTATTTGTGGTCAGTTACTGCACAGTTCTGGTTAAAGTACCAAACACAGGCACACAGGCAGGGATTTTGTCATTCATTCTCTCTCTTTAGAAACAAGTGAAAGACTTTAGGTTTGCCCACCTTTTTGTCCAGCAGTTAAAAGTCCTGCAGACTTTACAGCAGTTTTTTTCTCCTTGTCACTAACTGGCTGAGTTGCACCTCGAATGGCACAAAATATTTTTTGCAGTAAATAGGAGGTAAAAATCACACTGGACATTCAAGGCAAGCAGTACTTGTAACCAGTGACCTGCAGGAAGAGAAAGGCAATCTTACCAAACCAAGCACTCATTTACAAAAAGTTTCAGAGTTGATAAATGCTTCAGTGAGGAGGAAAAAGGAGCAGCTACTCCTTTATTGCTCCTGACATAAGGCATGAGTATCTATGGTTACATCCAGAGCTGCCCAGGGGTTAAGGTCTGTCTGCTCTGGCTGATGTTATGAGAAACTCTTATAATTACCAGTTTTTGCATCCTTAAAAAAAATCCCATCATCCTCTGTAAAGTAGGAAATGTCACTAAAGTCTTTTGAGGAAAAGGTTAATTTTTGAGCAACCTGGTCTAGTGGAAAGTGTCTCTGTCCATGGCAGGGGTTTGGAACTTGATGGTCTTTGAGATCCCTTACAATCCAAACCATACTATGATTTTGTGATTCAAAACAAGGCAAAGCAGATGAATTTATGCTCTAAATTACATCACAGGTAAGAAACAGCTGTGTTCACATACTAAACACAAAGTCAAGGGCCATGTGTCCTACCAGGAGCTGCCTGATCATCTCCAGCTGGACCTCAGAAGTTCCCTCCACAGCCACAATCAGAACTCAGTGGTGATGTGTGAGGATAAACCAAACTGATGGATGATAAAGACACTGGGATTGCTCTTTAACTGCTCTGCAGCTTGAATAAAATCACAGCATCACAGGGCAGGAGGGAAGTTTTCTATCAAAAGTCCTGTCTATAGGACACATCAAAAAAAATTCCCAAGTCCAGGTGCAACTTTCAAACCCACCTATGAAGAACCTACATGCGCCCAGAGCAGCACAGCAGGAATCCAGATCTCCTGGCTGAGTCCTTTCATTGCTCAGCAACAGCAAATTTACAGAGCACACACTGCTCGACACAATCGATCCCTGTTGTCTTAAGGACAACTGCCTCATCACCTAAAGGCAGGATTTCCCCAAAAACTCAATCATTACAGTACTGCACTTGCTGTGACAGAAAGTGCTTGTAAGCGACACTAAGTCCTCCATGATCACAAGCAGCTCCTGCTTTTTTGGCAAAAAGGAATAGGGTTAGTCTTGCACCCTGCTAGGAACACATTACCAGTGCCAGATGCATCCATACATGGATCTCAGCTGTGTGGATGTTCTTGATCTCTTCCAATTTTTAGAAAATTTTAAATAATCCCTACGATTCTGGGAGTAGCTAATCTAACACTGTTTTTATGGAAAGGACAAGAAAATCAGCTACAGTCAGCTTGGATTCACTGAGGGGAAGTCATGCATGCCCAGCTTAACCTTCCACAATGAAAGACTGGCCTGGCAGAGGGGAGCTGTGGGTATTGTCTACCTGGGCTTCTGTAAGACTTCCAAACACCCATCTGTGACATCCTTCTCACAAAGAAGCTCTTGAAGCTGCAGGAGCAGACACCAAAAGCTGTCTGAATGCCTGGTCCCAGTGATCAGTGGCTCAGGGTCTGGCTGGAGGCCAGGAGAACTCCAGGGGTCAATGCTGGGTCCAGCCCTCTTTAATACCTTCATTAAAGCAAATTTGCAGATCACATGGAGTGGGAGGAGTGGCAGCTACCTCAGAGGGCCATGCTGCCACCCAGAGGGACCTGGGCAGGCTGGGAAGAGGCTGGCAGGAAGATCATGGAGCTCAATGAGAAGTGCCAAGTCCTGTACCTTAGGAGGAGCAATCCCAGGCAGGAACATGGGATTTAATTCAATGTATTATAAGGTGAATCTTAGTCTTGCTCAGGGCCTCTTGCACCAAGTCCTGTGAGGACTCAAAGTTCTCACTCCCCCATTAGACTTCTACTTGTGGAACAAAAAGGATTTGAGAGTTTAAGATGCTCTTTGAAACCTTCCATAGTTGTTTTTCTATCTTTAAGAAAACTGTATGAGGTTATAACATGTATTTTCTCTTGCACAGAAGGGTAGAATACCCTGACACACTCAAATCTCCCACAGGAGCCTGGTTTCAGATAAGCCCCACCTAAAGCAGCCACTTAGACTGCAGCACATGAACTACATTTCCTTCTGAACTTCCTTCAGAGTCCAAAGCTCAAGGCTAAGAGATTCCACCATTTTCTGTTGCCACAATAAAAAGCAGCTCCACCAGGAATGTGGGTTTTGGTTGCAGAGTTGCAAGTACAGGGGAATAGGGTGCAATCCTAACTCTCCAAACCACCTTCTGCATGTCCTTGGGCAAGGTATTTCCAGTACCTGTCTCCCTCCCTCCATGGCTATTCAGACAAAATTCCTTTGGGGAAACAACTCTCACCTTTCATGCAACAGTAGCAAAACAAACTTAAGATTTTGAGAATAGTAATGTTAAAAGTGTTCCCTGCAAGCTCCATCTCACATCAGATTTTAGCCTGACACCAACAGGTGAAATTCAACATAGGTTAAGTGTGGAACAGTGCAGGTGAGAAAATAAATCATAACCCATGTTCTTAACAACGGGCTCTGAAATAGCTGCTGCAGCTCAGAAACACCTTGGGGTTTTAACAATTAGGAAAGTAATCAAGTCACTAAATCCCCACTATTAAAATAGTAGCCAGTGTTCTGCATTAGGAAGAGAACAAGGCATCAGACTGATGATGCCATTGTGCAAATCCCTGTTCTTAAGACCTCAGGGTTGTTAATGCACCAAGCACCTCATTCCGCTCCAGGCTGACACGTCCTACATGTCCCTCTCCCTTCCTGGTGCCTTCAGGACACTCAAATCTCTCTAAGCAGGCATATAATCTGAATTCCCAGAAGCAATGAACAGTTCACACTTAGTCCAAGAGGAGATGCAGTTATTCAATGCATTAGAGAATGACAGCATTTACGCATGCGCTTCAGCCAAGGAATTAAAGGTTAAATTTAGGAAATCATACCTGAAAAACACCCAGTGCTTCACATGAAGCACTATAACCAATCCTGCAGTACCAGTAAAGTAACTGTTCCTATCAACCCATCATCCTCTTCACTTTCTGTGAAATCAGAACCTTTTAGGGCACCACACAAAAAGAGAAACAAAAATATTATTGTTTCAGACCAGTCACTACAAATGTACACGACAGAATGAGGTGGCTGCACAATATCCAGTGTGTAAAGACAAACCACCAAATAAAACTTGGTAGCTGCAGAGCTCCAAATTAAATGTTGCTGAGCCTTTGGAAAGGGCACTGATGAAACAGAGGAGAAAACTGAATGTGTAAGCAGGAAGAGCTGGAGGTGTCAGATAAAAAGTTACTTGAGAAACTACTACAAATAGAAGTCAGTGGCAAGATTCCAGAGGAGGCCAATTCTCCAGCAGAGAAGTAAATACAGAACCAAGTGTTTCAAGGCATGCAAGATACAAACATGCCTGAGGAAGTCTGAGCCAACACACTGAGAGTGCTGAAGAACACGGAAAAGGTGCATTTTGCAGAAAATGTATCCTGCTAAGGAGATAAACAAAGCCTCACCACAGAGCTCAGTGCACGTCTGAACTTTTGCAGGTTTCCACACCTCTGCAGGTTTGTTTGCATCAACTGCTTCCACACCTGGCTCCACTGTCAGGCGTTTGTGCAGCCTCCACCACACAGATGGAACTAAGGGGATGTAGATCTGCTCCAGATTTGCTTGCTTTAGTGTCCCTATAAAAGCCACCTCATTTATAGCATGAATCTCCTACACAAAATACTAAATGAACAAACCCTCTCCCCTATATTTTCATGGATAAATTTTACTTCTGTCTTCAACCACAACAAGGATTCTCAGAATGAAATGGTTCAAAAGTTGCCAATAAAGCCGTTCTCAGCTTCAATGGAAAACCTTCAAGTTATCAGACTGGAAGCTCAGAATCTGGTGCTAAAAAGCAGAACAGCTGGTTAAAGGCACACCAAACGGCCTGTGTACCTCAGGAAATACAATCTAGTCACTCAAGAGGTATTTGCTGAAATAAGAACCATAAATATATAATACTGCTTAAAGCCAAGTCATATTTCAAGCTAAGTTCAGATCACATTCAATCTGTTACCAGTGGTTAAACTTTCTACAGCAGCCACTCAAATTGTTTGAGTACAACAAGCAAACCTATGCTAATTAATACCAGGCTAATCTCTGTTTTACTACACAGCAGCAAAGGCCTTAAAGTGTTGCTCAAAGAGAAAATGAAGAGCAGAGGCAGGAACAGAATCTAGATTCTGTTTTTACCCTAAATCCTGTGGTTTTGGTGTCAGGCTTGCTCCTCACCCCTGCTGCAGTGAGGGTGGATCAGAGGAAGTGTCAACTCCTGTTGCAAAAGTGCCCAACTCTGAGGGACTGCCTTACACAAGAGCAGAGTAAGGAAGCCAACATACAGCAGTTAAAATACCATTTAAAAAAAAAAAATCTGTTTTACAAGCAAATGTTTGTACAGAGGTTGGTGGAACACAAGCAGACAAAATAACCAAAATACAAGACCCCCAGGGTTTGTCATAGAAATCTGCAGCCAAAACTCAACAAAAGGGCAAGAACTGGAGATATTCACAGCATTGAACTACAGGTCTGTCCCCCTTCCCCCAGTGCATGTGTGTAACAGGAACAAGACATCCAGCATCAGCTTTCAAACAGCTAAAATGCTCTCAGGGCTCACAGCCACTTCAGTTCTCCACAATTCTGGGTGCCATGGGGCACAGAGACAAATGCCACCATTGCAGAGTCCCCTCTTGCCAACTCTTTGTCACACTCTGCTCCCAAACAAAAAGCAAACATAAAACCAGGAGCAGAGAGCTGTGTACTATTTTACATCAAGGTAAAACTAAGAGTAGAAGTGTTTAGTAGTTTAGTTTGTCAAACTTTGAAAACTTCCACAGGCACTCCTTCCCAAAAGAAAGCCTAACCCTGATGGTATTTGATCTCAAGTATAGAAATATAAACAGAAAGAGCAAATGCCAAGTTTAAAATGGTTAAACAAAGTTAGTTGCCTATGTGTGAGTTAGAGAAGTGAGATTCTGACAGCTGGCTAGATACAAGAATGAGTTTCCCTTCTCCCTACTAATGACCTGAAATCTGTTATCCCTGGATATTCCCAGCACAGACTGCCCAACACCACAGAGTTCCTGCTAACAGTCCATTAAATTCTCTCCTCTTTCCATTTCCCTGGATTAGACATAAATTTTCATTTGCTTTGTGAAGACAGGCTCAATCCTTGTTATTTTAGTTTCCATTCTGGCACAGAAGCTTTGTCCTGGAATCAGGAGAACAAACCAGCTAAATCTGTCCAATGATCCAAATCACTGGTGCAGAGATGAGGACTCAGGAGAGCAAGGCTCTAACTCTAGGAGAGACCATCAGGCAAGAGAAGATCATAGCACACAGTCCTTGTCCAAAGCTTCACACTTATTGTGGATCCAGCACAGGGACTCCATGATGAAGCACCAGAACAAAGAAAGCAGGAATACAGACAAAGCATCTCCTCAGCAGTGGGTTTTCAACAGAGCAAGGTCATCTGAAAGCTCAAAAAAAACCAGGATCCCCAGAGCAGAAAGCAGAAATGTGCAATTCAAAACCACACAGACGTGAATCTTACTTTCAAAGGGCTTTATATTACAAAAAAACATAAGTCACAACGAATGTGTAAAATCCATTCAATGAGGCTTGTTTCCAGTCTGCTAGGAAAGCTACTTTTCTCTTCTTTATTCCCAGCCTACTGCTGAAAACGTGATTGCCAAAACAATGACACCTCGAGCTAGATTTTTAAAATCAAACTTGTTCCGCCAGATCCAGCACTCTGAACTTGTCCAGGTTGTAGAAACAAGCCTTCACCACTCTGCCTCCAAAATATCTTCCATTTAGATCCACAACAGCTGGAATTGAAACAAAGAGCAGATCAGCAAGCAGCAATTCAATAAAATAAACATCTCTTTAACTAAACAGCCTGACCAGTGAGACTGTTTAATCTCTCTGAAGAAGTTAACTCTGAGATTCATAGGACACAATTTAGGATCCTACCTTTGATGGCAGATTCAACCCGTTCAAACTCTAAAAATATTCTTACAGCTTCATCATCAGGGGCACCAGGGATCTGAAACAACAAAAACCCCAAGCCACAAGTAATTAAAATAGTAGTGTGAACATTGTTTTCAATTACTGTTCTTCAAAAAGGCAGCGAAAGAATGAAATAAAAAGGTTCCAAAACCACAATACTCAAGTGATTTTTGCACAGTTGCTATTGTTAGAAGCTTGTATGTTACAGATACAGAAAATCCGGAATTCCAACACACTAAAGGACCCTGAGAGATCTTCAGTGTGTGCCCCTCTTAGGCAGTAACACTCCAGTTTTGAGGGATAAGTGCCCAGTTTCAGAGCAGCCAAAAAGAGAGACAGATTATCTCTTACCTCGAAGATGACACATTTCCCAACCTTGCCATATTTCTCACATTCCTCCTTAGTTTCAACTTCAAGGTCTTCATCCACCTCCCCAGCACCAACCATGTTCTGAAAGTCAAAGAACAAACCCAACTCACAGGATGGAGTCTGTGCAGGTGATTGTGTGGACAAATCACAGATGCTCTGTGAACTGTGACCACAAATACTTTAAAAGCTTAAGAGTTACAGGAGGAAACAGTTCCTTGTCTTTAAGACAAGGGAACTGCACAATTTAAAGCAGTGTTGATTTAAAGTCACAGCTTGTACCCCAGGAAGTCACACAATTTCTCCAAAACACCTTGTGGGTGCAGGCCAGAACCATTGGAACTGTGCAGAGTTTTGTATCAGGAGCTGAGGTTTAAACATTTCAGCACCAAGACACATTCCCTTAATCCCAACTCACCCTCAGTAAGACCACTTTAGTTGGGCATTTCAGGATCTCAGTTAAGGGGTTGGAATCCGCCTTCTTGCCCGTTTCTGTTTGAAGACAGAACAGTGAATCATGGTATAATTTAAGAATAAAGCTCAATTAGGGACTTCTATCAGAATCTTATTGATCAAACAATGGAATAAAAGCCACAAAGTGGGAGTTTCATATTGGTGAGGAACAGTTATTCACAACTTGTAGCTACTTGGAATGACAGTAAGCAGAAAAATCAATTCCAGAGGTCTGAATTAAGCAGTAACACTGACAAGGTGCTACTTCTTAGAGGGAAATAATTCCTAAATTCAGAATTGTATCAAAGAACTACAAGACTAAAAATATTCTGACTTCGACCACTTGTGTTCAGAGCTTGGATGTTATCTCAAGATCAGACAAGAGCAGGAAAATGGGAGCAACATCAACAGGATGTGACAGGAAAAAGCCATCAGGGCAGAGCAGGATCAGCCCTGGAAGTGAAGATGCTTCCCCAACATTAAAGGAGGAGAACTGATGGAGGAAGGGGAGGATGAGCTAAAAAAATAATGCAAACAGGATCACTTTGCAAAAAGATAAAAAAATAAAAATTTCCACAAGAACAAATATGAGTTTACAACTCCAATGTTTTCATCAAGGACAGATTGTAAACAAAAACCCAGCAGCTTCATTTCTCACACACTTGGTTCAGGACACAATTACCTTTCTCTGTAGATTCACCAACAATGATCTTGCCACCCCTCTTGCTTGTTTTCTCTACTGACAGTGCTGTGCTGAGCCCCTGTTCATGTTTGCCCAGCCCCTGGCCCTCTCTGAAACCATACTTCTGCATGATTTTGTGAGCTACTGTCCCCCTGCAACAAGAAAAAAAAAAATCAGTTGATAAGGGTTTCTTTCATAAAACATTAACACTGCATTTCTCCCGAGTGCTCAAATATCCTACCTCCTAAAACTTCCTTACACAGGGACAGAAAGTACAGGAGCCTCTACAAGTTCTACAAGTTGCATGATTTTTTCTAAGCAAAAGGCTAAAAAATTTGGCTGTGTAATGCTGGAAGATTAAAACACTAAGACACAGAAGAAATAGCCAATTGTGTGGTCAAAGTAAGGCAAGTTAGGTCAGATTTTCAGGCCTTCCTTCAGTCAAGTCAGGGTTCCATGGTACTACTAATTAAAGGTGGTAACAATGCACAAGCTGGTGCAACAGCACCAAGTTTGGTTAACTTTTTCTGGACAACTAAAAAAAACAAATCCAAAAATGAGGTCTCTAAGCTGTTTTTAGCTATAGATTCACCTTCATTTGTTGCCATGGCAATTACACAACATCACAGGAAAGGAAATATACAACATACAAGGCAGGAAAGTAAATGGGCAGATTTTCAGCCATAGCTACCTTCATGCAAAATAAACTCTGAATTTTTCAACAAAGCGGAGCTGAAATTATTTGAAATATCAATTTGCTGGTAAGTAGCAAATTTAAGACAAAACTGATATAGAAATCAAGAAGAACTAACATGCCACCTGTGTTTTCAAGTACACTCCATTGTTACAGGCCATAAACACTTTATGCTGGAGTGGGGCTTAAAGCACAGCCTTGCATGCAAGCACCTCAGATGTGTTTCCCTCAATCCTGTCAATCCACGTTTTTTCTCCTGTATCCTGCCAGTTTGGACTCTCTGAACTCAGACTAACCACATACATGCAAGGGGTTGTGCTTTTCTCCTCTGACAAACTATTTCAAGCCTTTGGTTTCCACCACCTTCCAATGCCTTTTCCCACAAAATGTGCAGGAGTCACTCATTGATTTACCCCATGTTGGCCAGGAAGGAGTTGCTGGGTCCTGTGGGGGAACGAGGTCTCTCTGGCTCATCATACACTGGGGGAGGAATTGCTGCTTTGGAAGAAGGTGCCCGAGGTCTTGACTCCTCCTCATATGGGAATGATGCTACAGCTGGAGAAAACAGAGAAAACAGACATTTGGGTTTTTTTTTTTTTTTTCAATAAAATCCTAACAAATTATGAAAAGGTCTTCCACATAAATCCAAATCACAAGAATGTTTCCTTTGCACAAGCTGTTTTGACATCCTCTCACCTCTCTCTCAGAAACAACATCTGATTTATTCTGGGTTTTCCTCATTGGATGTAGATTTCCACAGCTCTATAATGCATTTATTAACCTCTTATTAAATGGAGAAAAAGAACATTAAGAGACCACCTGCACTACAAAGAGTTTATCCAGAGGACAAACTCCCATTCATCAGGAATAGAATTATGACAAAAATGCATCAATGCACACAACTCAAGGCCCAAGGACTGTAATAAAAATACACTGCACATTTGCAGAGAGGAGAAACTGGTCTATTAAAAATAATGAATGCAACTCTTCTCACTGGGAATTTCTGAATTGCAGCTCTTCTTGGGGATGGGGATGGATATCTCAATCATACTGGTTAGATTATTTAATTACCTTCCACTGACAAGTCAAATAGCAAAATGAAAATAAAAAAATCCTACTCGAACATTAGAAAAAAAATCACTTTTAAATGGACTTATGGACTTTTATCAGACTGACCTAATTTTAGAATATTTTCTTGTATGCTGACTCTTGTATCTTATCAAATAAAAGATCAGACACTAAATTTGAGGATATAATACGAGGAATAATTCCTATTTAGACAGCAGATTGACTGGACTATGGGACTTTTGCTACACCAATCTTTTTTTTGCTTTCTTCCAGTCTGGATTTGAGCATCAAGTAAGGAGCCATTCAAAGGTTTCTTTGTGGGACCATGTCACATTTTAAAAGCTCTCTCCTTAATGATATTTGTACTATTTCCAGCCTATATTTACTTCTTGACACAGTTCAATTGCTCTTAATTATTTACTCAAAACAATGTCTTTCTGTTTTGAATGTTTACACGTATCAAATGCTCTCACTGTATCATTCACTTAGGTTTTGAGATTTTTTTTATATTTTAATCTTCTCATAAATACAATGACTCCCAAAAAAAGTTTGTATGTATAAGGTTTTTTCTTATTATTATTTCTTAAAGTAGAAACATACTGGTAATTATTTAAAAAATTTACAACAGTTAGACATGGAAAAAAAAAAAAAAAAGGGAATGATTTTGTTCCTGCAGCAAGATGATGCCATCTCGTGGACAACTGAGATGCTCACACCACCACTGCACACAAGTCTCTTCAGCTCGAACTGCATCCCGGAGAAATTTAAATTCTGTCTCTAGTGCATAACTCCTTTAGAACAGATATTCATTAAGTACCTCCTCAAGGAAACAGCAATGGAAAAATTCCCTCTCCACACTGTGGAGGTTTCTAGCTTACCCAGAGAAACCTGCCTGTGACATTTCTTCTTTCATATCAGAAGTTATAAGAGCCCAGTTTGCCAAGACACTTGTCCAGCAATACATAAAGATTTCTTGAGAACAGAGATGTGAAGCAGGGCAGCACCACAGGTCCCCCACAGCCTCCCCCCACGAACAATGAACTTGTTCATGTCCTGCTGCTACAGAGAATCCAAGGGGAAAAGCAGGAGGACTTAACTGAATAGAAAGTTGAGTAGGAAATTAACACTGCTGGGTTTAGAGAAGAGGATTTTGGAGTACTCACGTTCTTTGTCCTTCTCCACGAGAGAAGTGGGTGGTGCAATGGCAGCTCCTCCCATACCTATGAGCAAAATGGAACACACAACACATTTGGAGGATGTCACAACAGACTTGAATTATTAACTGTAACTTTGTAGCTGAAAGAGAAAAAAAGACTAATTTTGTTTATGCAAAGACGTATTTCTGACCCACATCACCTGACAAGCTATAAGGGCACTGATGTAACAAATACAGGAATGAAAAGCTGCAATAGTGAAAACTCAGTGGTTCTCACAGACTGATTTTATGTCATGCCTCATCCCTTCCCTGGAACCTACACCATGCTGAAACTTACAATAGGTATCTACAAACTAATGTTAAAAAGAGGTATTTCCACAAGTAATTTGGCTGCTATCTGTCTCCATGGAAAAATACCAGTCTTGTGCATTATATTATGTTGTAATAAAATGCCTGATTTATTCTAAAGGCTCAGAATTAACAGTGTACTCTTGTGAGGACAGAGAAATACAGAATCCAAGAAATAGGACTGTGAATTCCCCTCCCTCTTTTTCTCCTCTTTCCACACTAAAACCATAAGCAGTTCCCTTACTTCTTTTCCGTCTCTCCCTTTCATAATCTTCATCTTCATCAGAATCTGGATCTGGTCGTCTTGAAAACCCACTGGCTTCATGCCTGTCTTTACGCCTTCTAGGAGACACAGCAAGTTAGGATAAGAAACCATGGAAGTTAACTCTTGGTTTTAATTTGTGATCTCACTTCTGCAGGGTGAATTATTCTGCTCCATCCAACGGGCACTTAACATGTTTCCCTTGAAAGTGCAAGTTAACACCATCAACCATTTCCTTCTTTGCTTTTACCATCATGGGGCATTTTTGGTTAAACAGAAGATGGATCTAAGCCAAGATCATTTTCCACTTGCAAGTCAGCCAAGAAGAATGCATGGAAAGGAGGAAGCACCTGAATAAATCCTGTCCAAACCAGTGACTGAATGACTAACGTGGAACAGGTGTTGGATGGAACAAAGAGCAAGGTAACAGACATTAATTAATCAATCACCCTGCTTTGGACAGAATCCCTTTTACATTTCCCATCACAGACTACACAGAGTAGTATCAGTTACTGAATAAAAATATCCTCATGCTTAAACATCAGATTGTTGAGACACTTGCTTGGCAATTAAATAAGATTCAAGAATAACTTCTAATGCAAAGTAATGAATGCTTCAAGATTTGTTTGTACTTCAGTTATTATCCAATGTGATCAGGAAATTACTCATTTTAATACAACAAAAAGGAAAAGCACTTTTCCTCAAAAGTTAAGTGTACCACTTGATGCATAAATCAAATCTCATTCCTAGCACAGCCACCAAAACCATGCTAAAGGATGACAAAAACAGCTCAGCTGTGGAACCACAAAGAATTTCTGAATCTCTGCCCTATGAAATCAAAACAAATGTCCAGCCTGAACTTCCAAAGTGCACATCTGATGAAGGCTTGGCTGAGATTGTTTCCCCAGCTTGAAACTGGAATTTATTATGCATTTCCACCTCTTTTCTCTAATGTTTATACATATAAAGACTCTTGGCCCACACACAAGTACAAACACAACCAAAGAGCAGACAATGCTGAAGCTGTGGGAATGACATCCCAAATTCCTGAGGTCTTGCATGCCAGTAGGGCAGAGCCTCAGGCATTCCTTCTCCATCAAAACAATAAAGCTATAACCAGAGAAGACAGAGAAGACCCAATAACTAGAAATATTAATTTCCACGATCTAAACAGGGCAGTAGAACTGTAATTCCAGGCTTCAGATGATTCATACTGTGATGAAGATAGTTTATTCACTTCACCTGAAATGAACAAATGTAATTTCTGCCTGACTGGAAGACATTTTACCATTTATAACAATCAGATATTGAATCTGCATTCAACTTCCTTAACATGATTACAGAGATTTCTTATTTCAGGGAAAGGGTATTAAAAATAAAGCAGTATTTTCTTTTGTCTAGAGACAATAGATTAATAAACACATAATTAACTTACTTAAGAATTAAATTACTGGATGCAGAGTATTAAAAAAGGAAATGCAATTATGCCTCTCATGGCTGTACTAGCTACATTTAAAACTGAATGCATCCATGGATCAGTTTGTAGTTTTTAGAAGCAGAGAGGATGATTCATCACTGAGTGTCGAAAAAGTTTTTCTGCAGTCAGGTGACAATGACATCAAATACTCTAAATCACCTGCAAGGTCAAAGTCTGATAACGATGCATGAATACCCAAATATTGGTGCTATTACTGAAACAAATTAAATTTAGAATAATTTTGACCTAATGATTTAATAACTTAAATAAGGGTTTTTCACCCAATGAAGCTACAAAATTGATAATTCTTGTTGGTTTTGCACTGTTTGGTGACTTTTACCAAGAGCATTTTAAAACACTGCACTTCTTTCTGCAAGCACATAGTATTTACAGACTCTAAGAACTTCCAAGAATATAGAGATAAAATTTAACAAACTGATACGTCTATTTAGATAAGGGTCAATATGTCAAGCCTTTAAACAAAAGCCTTACTTTTCTCTCTCTTCAATCTCCTTCTGCCTCTCCAGCTCCCGCTGCCGCTGCCGTTCCTCTCTCTGACGTTTCACCACCTTTTCGTAGTCATTTGGGAACATGGGATCATATTCATCTGCCAGGGGAATCAACACATCTCCTGCAGAAAAACCACTAGGGACAGGATCCTGGAAAAAAAGAGAAATTCTTTTTTTAGCTGAGAAAAACACTCAGTTGGAAAGCAAAAAATTTAACAGTTCTGATTCCTGACTTCTGTAATGTCAGCTTGTCAGAGTCCGGGACATCCCTCTGGCTGTCTCAAGACTCTGGCAGGGGCTCTGAGACCTTGGTATGAAGTCAAAAACACCTGTGGCTTCCATTTTTAGCCCATTGAAAAAATTGCCAGCATTGTATGAAGAATTACAAGCCACAATGGTCTGAGTAGTGCGATATTTGAATTAACATAGGGTGGAAAAGTAGAAATTTGGAGTTTTTAGAATATAATTCAGGGGGTCAAGATGGAGGAATTTGGCTGTACCCTATCCTTCTTCTCCTTCTGCTTGTCCTCCATGTCTTGTTGTGATGGTGGCAATCTTCTATTGGTTCAAGGTAGAGATTCACAGTCTAACATAGGTGGTAGCTATTGGTAAAGAAATTGTAAACATACAACATGTAGTTTTGAGGATATAATGTGGGAGCTGCCCGAGGCTCGCAGCAGTTTGCCATGGCTTCCTTTCTGGACAGACCTCAGTAGGTCAGAGAAAGAATGTTTAGATAAGAAATAAACAACCTTGAAAACATAACTGGACACATTCCAGGCTCCTTCTTTGGCTGCATGGGCTGGGAAAAGGACTTTCACACTGCTGGGGTCCCGACAAGCTGACCCTGACATCAGGTAATATCCTAATCCCATTGGTGCTAGAAGAAATCTTGGCTTTATTTAAATCTAACATTTCATCCAGTCTCTCATTACATCAAATTTTTCCCATGAAGAAAGAACACTCCTTCGCCTTGTAAAAAAGCAGCAGCAAATCAGCATGGACAGGAATTTTTCAAACCCCACTAATGCATTATTAGAAGCTTTATGGCATCTTGCTGCTGTAACCATCTGCCAGGGTCCTCCCACACAATCTTATCAGGCTTTTTATCAGCTGCTATTAATATAATACCAACAGAGGCACACAGCACACAGACTGTTCTCCTCTAATCTAAAAGAACCATTCAGAACTTTTCCTCTGAAAAAGCTGCAGAGAGTTTATCTTGATTTCTTACCATGAGAAATCAATTTAAAAGGTTAGAGGCTTTAGTTGTTTTATTTTTCAGTTGATTGTTATACACTTCCAGTTCCAACACTGGTGCCAACACAATTATAGTCATTATTTAGCTGCCCAAATTGCTGTCTTGCCAAATAATTTGAAGATGTCCAGGATTTTAAGAACACTGTTTTGTAACTGCACATTAACTATGGTGATTCCATGCTGTAGCACATGTAAGTCTGAATGATGTTGAAATGTTAATTAAAGAACTCTCAGCAGAGGAAGATATTCTCAGAAAATAATCAGTTTTTTGACCACTAGGAAGCATTCAACTTCCAAAACATTTGGAAATTTTAGCTGTCCTGGTCTTACCTTTAGCCCAGCTGCTACATGAGGGGGTGTGTCCACAATCTGTCTCTCATCAGAGGAGCTGCCTCGTTTCAGGTCAATCACTGGAGCAAGAACTGTGGTTTGTTTTGTCCTCTGACTCTGCAAAAATCAACAAAACACACAATGTCTAAAAAAGATAAAGCAGTTTTCTAAAAATTGGCTTACTTGATAGACTTTGCTGTGGCAGGTGGATGGTCCTAAGTTTTCACTGGGACCAGAAACACACATGGAAAATTCATCCAATCACTTCAGGTGAGTTTGAACTGAGTTAGTTTCTAAGAAACTCAGATTTATTCCAAAGATCTACTGTTCTTCCCATCTATCATCAGATAAAATATTTTAAACTCTTCTGAACTGAGTTTTCTAATCCTATCTTATTCTTCTGTTAGGCTATGGATACACTGCACATCGGGTACATGGAAAAAGAATATAACTAATACAGCAGTCAGTAAATTTCTTCCATGAAGTTTGTTCCCATTATCAACTAAATCCTGCTTCCAATTTCTGCAGCATAAATAACGAGTAATTACAGTGAAAAAAATGCTGTGGCTACTCAAGTATCTGGCATCAGTGCTACTGCTTCTTCCTTTAATTAAGTAACCTCACTACAGAACCTACAGTGCCTCAAAGAGCACCTGTGTCCTGCCTGAATCAAAATATCAACACTGCTGAAAGAATAAGGGTGAAATGAAAAGAAGAAGCAATAAAAAGAGAAAATGGCTCTGTCACAGTCTAACAAAAATCAGCTTGCACTCCTCCTTTTCACCTACTCTGGAAATACTTGGTGTAAAATTTCTAATACATAATGATTTGCAGGTTAGCACCAAGATGCTTTTCAATAACAACCATAAAATGATGTAAACATGTAAATAATCATAGTGTGACCCCTACTTACATTAAAAAAATTTTTATAAAGCTGAATCTCATTATCTTTAAAGCTAAACTTGAAGATCAGCTTTTGGCTCTGCTGTTAAAAGTTCAGAGGTTTGCAGCACATACATCAGTGCTTCCTTCAGTTTTAATTTTGCAACACCCCCTCTAAGAGACATCAAGAAATACACGTTTTTCCTTTTTCCCCTTCAGCTTTGTCAGGCTCTCTGCTACAAACTCACAGACAAATGTCAGCAAATTCTGAGGTCACAAACACAATGCACTGAACACGAAAAACAGAAAGAAAAATCACAAAGGGACTATACCTTTGCTTGTGTGAGAGCTGCTTTCTTCACCTGCAACTGCGACTGCAGCAGTTTGAAATTCTTGGACCAGCCTTCTGTTTTAGAATCGCTGGTCTCAACCCCCAAGTCATCGTAAAGTGACATTTTCTCTTCAATTTAAAACTGAAAGACAAAATAAAATAAAAAAAAAACTCTAGATGACACTACAAGCCAAATTCCAGGTTATTTGCTAACAGTTTCATACATGGGTACACCACCTTTTATTTCACTTTTCCTAAAGCCAGAGAAAATGCACTTCTTTCTGGTGAGTAGTAAATACACATAACTAGAGCAATGCTGTATAAAAGTAACAATTTGAAAAGTGATGAAAACTGTTCAAGAATTAATTCAATCCTGCAGTGGAATATGAACAATTAGGGCTCAACAGCAAGAAGTTTACTGCAAAAAGAAAAAGGAGGTTTTGAAGACTATTAAACATCTGGCCTCGGGATGAAACACAGCGGGGGTTATAAAGGCACAGATGCACAGGATGAGGACAGGGTGTTGTAGCAATTTCCACCTGCCACAGAGCAGTGGGATTTTGGCAGCTGGGGAGTGAGGAGACAGCATGATTCTGGGGAATCACAGAATCAGTCAATGTGGAAAAAAAAATCTCTGAAATCATCCAACCTGTGACTGAAGATCAGCTTGTCACCCAGACCAGAGCACTCAGTGCCGCATCTATTTTTCCCTTGGACACCTCCAGGGATGGGGACTTCAGCACCTCCCTGGGCAGTTTATTCCAACACTTAAGTACCTTTTCTGACAAGAAATTCTTCCTAATATCCAGCCTGAACCCCGCCTGGCGCAGCTTGATGTCATTTCCTATTGTCCTGCCGCTTGTTACGTGCGAGCAAAGCCCGACCCCCACCCGGCTGTCCCCCCTATCAGGGAGTTGTGGAGAGCGAGAAATTCCCCCCTGAGCCTCCTTTTCTCCAGGCTGAGCCCCCCCAGCCATTCCTGCTCAGACCCTGGACAGCTGGCTGGACGCAGGGCTGGCGCTGTCACCGCGGGGAAGGGACGAGGCAGCGAGTCACAGGAGCTGTCCCCACAGTAAAAGGAAAGGTGGGCAGCGATCTGGGAACAGCGGGGGCGAAGCAGGCCCTGACACCCCCCCCCCCACACACACACACACACTCCGCACAGGCCGGGAGCCCTCTGGGAAGCCGCTGAGCGTGGCACACCCGCCCTACCCTGCCTTCCCCTGCCTGCCCACACCCAGCAGGGCTCAGAGCCGCCTCCCCACACGGCCGGGCCCGGAGCCGCCCTCACCCGTCCCGGCGCCGCCGCCGCCGCCATCAGCCGGCGCTGAGCCCGCCGGGAAGGGCCGCGCCTGCGCACTGCGCCCCGCGCCGCCGCCGCGCCGGCGCCCCCCGGCGGCGGGAGGAGGGAGCGGCAGCGCCCCTCGGCCGGCGGGACGGAAACGTGAGGGGATTTCGAGATTTTAGAGCAGCGAAGGTTTTAGTCAGAGGTGTGAAAAACTTGCCAATCACCTGGGTTTTAAAATGTTAAAAAGTTTAATGCTGATAAAATGGTTATAAAAATAATCATGCAATTAGAGTAATAAAGTTTAGAGTTAGGGCAATTACAAGGCAATAAAAAGCACTCGGACACTCTTGGACACTAAATCACAAAAAGCATCCCTTGTGAATAAAGGAATAACATTAAACCTATACACTTGTTGCATATTCATACATCCTTCATGGTTATGCATACATTCTATTTAAAACAAGAACTCTCTTGTATGTCAACTGTTCCTTTAATCCGCATGGTGTCTTCAAATCTGTGCAAGGCCTGAATAAATTAGTTTCTTCTGATAAGAAGCCATAAATTCCTCTCCTTTGGAAGATTTAGGTGCTCCTTGAAGCGAGTATCTCATTCCTAAAAAACCTTCCCCCACGTACATAGTCTCTATTTTAACATTATGTTGGAACCTAAAACTATATTTTGCACACTACTGAAGAGAATTAATACAGCATAACTTCCTAACATTACACATATAATATTTATTGTAATATTTGAAAAAGCCAATCATAAATATGCGTTTTTCACAGAGATAAGCCTTACTAGAGTTAATTAAAATAAATGAGTAGGCCTTGATTAGGAGTTAGTAGTTAACTAATAATTGATTGTTTGTCAGCACAATGTTTAGTTAGCTGGGTTTATAATGAAGAATATAGAAACTGAAAATAGCTTTTAGGAACATAAGACTATTGTGGGGCTCCTCTGTTCTGAAACCAATTGAAGGCAAGGAATGGGAGTTCTACCAAGAGTTCATTTGTCATATTTGCATTGAAAAGATAGAAAGGTCAGAAGGAGGAAAAAACTTCATTTACTTCCTCATTTTGGGACCCCTCCCCATGGAAGGGACACCGACCCATTTCAAGGAACAAACCACGCATGCTTAACAGCTTTTGGAGTGATTAGCATATGAAAAGAGGAATAGGATATACCAAAATGATGAATATGGATTTTTATTTTGGGTATTCAATACTTGTATGGATAAAAGGGCTCTGTAATCACTTGGAAGCTGCGGTGTGGATTTGGGAGCTATCCCAGTGTAGAATAAACACACACTTTCTAACTTTAAGCTGTTTGAGAGTTTTTGTCCATCACAGCTGGATATTGGTACTAGATCAATATCCGTATTTTTTTAATAAATCAGTGGGAGGGTGGCACGGCACATCCCAAGGGGCTGGATTTACCCCCAACACTGTTTGCTCTGGATGTTCTGTTACAATTTTCCATACCGTGTTTCTAACTCCTTAAGTAATCTGTGGTAGTTTATTCAGTGAGTAACCAGTCTCCATGGCTGTTCAGTATTTCTAGTTACCTACCAAGGGCATCTGAGATTTTGGGCAGGAAAATGGAGACAATTACATGAAATTCTTCATGAAGACTCTGGCAGCACTGAGAAAGTTACGAGAACAGAGGACTTATTCTTCATCAATTTCAAACAATTCTGTCTGTTATTCCAGCATGTTTGCTGTCATTTTGCTGTGCCATCACTGTCACTGAGGTCACTGGGTAATTGCAAATATTGCAAAATATTTGGCTATTAGAAGGTCTTGCTGCATTATGTCATTTGGGCCTGAAGTGGACTTGTTTGGTCTGCCAAAACAATCTTTGTTTTCTAAAAACCTTAAAATTCTGCATCTGTCTGAACCTGGAATTTACCCAACCATACCAATTTCCCAGCCCAATATCCTGCACTAATTATTTAATATCTTCTCTTTGACAGAGGCAAAAAAGGATTTTCTTTTTTACTTACGCTGCACTGGTGTGTCTCCAGCTCATACCAAGCATGTGAAATAGATGAGCTGAGTTTTCTAAGAATTATGGCCACTTGCACCACATGATGAGCAAATGAACATGCAAGACTGTCTGCAAAGCCAAACGCCAGCCCTGAAGCAAATAGACCTGGCACTTCAACCTCAAAATATTACAAGCACTATCTCTGTATTAATCAGAAAGTCTTTATCTCCAGCATTGCTTCTGACTGTGCTACTGTGCAGTTTATTTCCCTGTGGTTAGCTGAAAAAATAAATAAAATAAAGCTACTACTTCCTCTCCTACTTATGCTGCTTTCTATTAACGCAGTACTTCTAAATACATTTACATATATGTCTATTTTCATCATGACAGTGAAAGTTCCTTAAATATAAAAAGAAATTGTCTTCACTTTATTTATAGAGGATCTCCCAAGCATCTTCCTGAGGTTTTTGCTTTAGCAATGCCTGCATTTTTTAAAGGAAGGATTGATATAATTCACACATCTGTAACCTTGTGGAAGAAAAATAAAATCAGCAAGGGACTACTTTTACAGCCTAAGAGTCCCACTGAGAAAAGAACCATGTATCCTATGTTAAAGGAAGGAATCAAATAATTAATTGCATCAAAAGGTACAGAAAAAAATCCCTGTGGATTGAGATGTCAGAGCAATATCACAGCATGACAGACACTGGGAGAAACTCAAAGGAGATTAGAGTCTGCAGAGGTGGAAAACACGAGAGCAACGGGAGATTTTGGTTCCTCCTCAGAACAAGTCATAACAGGGAGGGTAAAGGCTGAATTATCAGACCTGTAAATAACTACCTATTAAAGCCATAAATCAGATAACTCACAAGGAGAGAAGCAGCTCTTGGTTAAGCCTGGAAACTGCAGTAGGCATGGATCAAAACTGATCCATCACTGTGATAATAGCCACAGTGTATTTGTACACGCCCACTTAGAAGCAGAAGAGCCAAGAAAATCCTTCTCATTAAATTTGGGGAGATAAAGAAACCTCACCCTGCTGCCAAGGTCCCAGACAGACTGGAAATGGAGGAGAAATATGTGAGCTCATCCCCAGCATTGCAGATCTTGCAGGTGGGTTAATTGTGGCTGAAATCTCCTTTTCATCTGCAAAGGTGGGGGAGCACTGGCCAGCTCTCTGCCTCCTACAGACCCTCATAAATGTTGAAGCGTGATCTTCCAGCTACTTTA